TCTTCTTCTTCTTCTTCTTCTTCTTCTTCTTCTTCTTCTTCTTCTTCTTCTTCAAATTTGTATACTTCTACTTCAAATTCTAGTTGTTCTTCAAATTCTTTTTCTTTAAGTAACGTTTTCATTTCGTAATGGATAAAAAGCAAATCAGTCACACTGGAAACGGGACAGAAGAGGCTGAAGAAACAATAGCTCAGAATGTAAAACAATCACCGACATGGACACTTTGAAACAAAAAGTTCAGAGGCTTGACTGTACATCATTAAAACTATACCATTTTAGATCTCGAGGTACAAAAAAACAACAACCTTCCTTGCAGCTCAATTAACGTTTCTACCTAAAACATTTTGACGCCTTTTAGGAAAGATAATGAATGAAAAGTTGGTCACATTCTAGACACTGGCGTTTTGATTAATGACTTCTTAGACGACTTCTTTAGCGACGAAGCAGATACATACTATGTTCGATCAGCAATTAACTAACAACAACGTTGAAGCACAGTTCCAACCAAAATACACAAATGAGTAAGAAGAATTAATTTACATATTTCAAATATAAGGGATGTTGCATGCGTTTTTAATTTTTTGATAAAGATAACAATAGCAAAATCGGTATGAATGACGAAATTATGCAGCGAGGGTTGTTGTTGTTGTTGTTGTTGTTGTTGTTGTTGTTGTTGTTGTTTAGCTGTTGTTTTTTTCAAGTGACCCAGATCAGCGCATCTTCAATGAGTTAACCATACTTACTCGTCATTTTCTGACTTTTCACAGGGTCACAAAATGATCTACCCAACACTTGCATGTCTATTAATTAGAAAATAAAAAGTTGTTTTAGACACTGAAAGAAAAGTTATACTAATTCTAGAAGCCTGTGTTTTTGTTCATGACTTCAAAGAAATATTAATTCAACATATTTACTTATTTTCTGACTTCTCACGGGGTCACAAAATTCTCCATCAAAACACTTGCATGTCTTTTTAAAAGTTATATTTTTAATACTGAACGAAAGGCTACCCACATTCAAGAAACTTGTATTTTTTGTTAATGACTGAAAAGAACTATTAATTAAGTGTACTTACTGGTTATTTTCTGACTTCCCACGGGGACACAAAATGCTCCAGACCCGCCCGGGTCGTGAAATCCCCAGGCCTCAAATGATCCAACGAAGCCGGGCCATGCAGTGTATGCAGTGGATTCATAGTCCCCTAAAAGGTTCCTGACAAAAAGTGGGCAAAATCCGAATCGAAAATCTAGCCCACCGGTTAATGTCTTGAGCTGGGATATAAACCCAAGAAGAAGTTATCCGGATAAGTAAACTGGTTCGTAGAATACCCGGCAGTTCTCAGTAAGTGGTTCTGCTTCGTTGCTGTGGTGAATCGTCTCATGCAAGGAGGTTTAAGCTCCATGGTCTCATGCTAAATGTTTTGAGCTGTATATCATAAAAGTTTGAACTTAGATTAAGAATGGTGTCTGTGTTTGCGCGCGCGCGCGTGCGCGTGTGTGTGTATGTGTATGTGTATGTGTGTGTGTGTGTGTGTGTGTGTGTGTG